CTCTCCATACGTAATGGTGAGCGTGAGGCACTAAGGGGTACAAGGGGACCAAAAGATATAAAATAGCCACAAAAGCCTATCATCCCAACTTGTAAGGATACCCGCGCATCTGAGCTTCCACTAGTTTACGAAAAAAAGGATTTATCGGGTCGCTGTTAGAAAAGGTCGTTGCGCGAGGCACTGTGTGTCTCCCACGACTGCATGGAGCCCTCATCACGTGTTTTTGAAACGCATACTTCCTTCCTTGTTGAACTCCCTCGTACGATGATGCCGATGCCCATCCTAGGTTACGATGTTTGATGAGTATTCCTGTATACATGGCGTACCTTAGCAGGGAGTCTGTCGCCACTTCTTTTTCTTGGTGTACACCTGTGATTTGCCTGCTAGGCTGAAAACACATCAGCTGCTCGAAGTGCGTATCTACGCAAATGATATTAAAGACTGTGGCATCTATGATAACAGGGCTCATTCTGGTGTGTAAAGCTGTCCGATACTTGAGGGCATCGTCATCAAGCAGCTCCATTATTTTAGCATCTGCAACTGTCATGCTGGCGTCAGCGCGGTAGAAGAAAATGGTTGAGGAAGCGCTTGCGGGGGGGGGGTCGACGCCAGTGGTAGGGGAAACATTCTTCTCCGTATTACAGAAGAAGAAGGATCGGGATTGAAGCGAGTGATACTAATGAGCGAATCATTCCTCAATGTATAAGTGCTCACAACACCTTTCACCCCTCTGCAGGTGTGGCATGTATCATGAGTTCAAAACAGTATGACAGAACTTTCCCGTTAACCTAGGTACCAGATTCGCCTGTGAAAGTGAAGACGCTGGATTGAACGTCTTCTGGCCCTCAGAGAACCACTTACTCTGTATCGCGCTCAGTGTTAGTTCGACCTTTTGGGAAATGGAATTCGCGTTTCATACGAAGATGGCACAGAAAATGGAATTTGCAGAAACCCTATGTAAAGTATACGGTAAAAAGCAACGCCTCGCAGGAAGGCTAAAAATGATATAAGGGATTCAAAGGATTCACATACGATTTTTCCGAAGTAAGAAAAGCATCGTTCATGGAAGATTATCAAGGTCATGCCTGGATCCCTCTATCCTTATCAAGGCTGAGCTAGTGAATCACATTATTTAAAAAGATCCACCTCAAACCAAAAAGGAATTGATACATATATAATAGAATACTTCCCATTATCATTGACCCTAAGCTTTACCTGACGAGAAGTATTCAAAAATAGATTTTCTGTGGGACTGACCATCCGCGTGGTGCATTTCTGCGAGTCAGAAATTGCCAACACAGATCGCTCTCATCTCTAGCCTCCCTGAGAGACCGAACCCATGTAATAAGTTGGCTGTACTCGTAGTTGTCGGAGCATTGAAAGGTGCAAAAAAACGTGTGATGAGGCAAGAGATGAATTACTCCAAAAGGAAGGGAGCCACATGTAAGCGAGCTTACATGGTGTGATGCGCACGTTCACAATAGCCGCAAAATGCGGTTCTGACGTCAAGGCAGAAAACAGAAATGTTACGCTGCGGAAAGTATTGAGTTCAAGTAGTTCTCAGACCGCAATTATTGATATGATGGGGCGTGGTCTCATTAGCGACTATTGTTTCGTAGTCTTTGACTATTGTCCCGCTTCGGTGTTTCCCTTTTTTTCGGTGAGCAGATTGGCTTGTCGTTGAAGTTCAGGAGAAGCAGAAGAAGACAGTCCGCTCATGGAGTGCATCATTGAAGTTTACTTCAAACAATGTGTCCAGGTACATGAAAGGCTCATGGTAAAACTTTCCGTGATGTTACTCTCTAAGCAGAAACACGCAGTCCACCTCAGCCCCTACGGTAATGACAAGGTTATGCCATCCATCATCATCGTCGAGCTAGAGAAGGGCTACAGCGTTAGCATCTGTTTGAAGCAGCACCTCAGTTTTCTGTAAATACATCTGTCATTACAGAAAACTGTGCTGCAGCTTGCTGCAGATACTGAGGGGTGTCAGCAGTGAGGGAGTGGACATGGCGCGGCACTAGCTCGCTCGTTGCTAATGAGCATTACGTGCTCCCTTCGGTAAGTGATAGAGAACGAGTCGGCATCATACTGAGCCAAGCCACCCCGACACGCCGCAGCATCCGTTGCGAGCAAGACTCTATGTAATACATTGATTGTGGACAAAATTTCAGCTTCCAAATCGCTTTGGATGAGGACGGAGTTACATGGGGAGGGAGCGTCTGTCACACACATCGCTACCATTGTTGGATCTAGCGTCATGCAATTAAAAAACATGCGTGTACTGCTGTGCGACCAACCTCGTGAATGGGCCACTCGGAAATCATCTTTGAAAAACCATGCATGAATCCATATGTGTATTGTGCTGATTCAGTGAAGCTTTCCATTTTCACGCTGTCACTCGCTCTTATAAGGCCTCCCTATATCCTGAGAGCGCTCGAGCTCAAGCTTCAAGACTGTGTCAGAAATGTATTTAAGGATGAATATAGCCGAAAATAGCCACCCGGAGGATTTAGCCGCAAGTCTGATGGAATCAATTAGATTGGCACTCACGCATTACCTCGCAAGCGTAGGTAGCTTGTTCAGAATTATTTCAACGTCCTTGATATTTTCATTCTGTCAGAGAGACTTGTAGGCAGTCATCCACTTCAGTTCGATCCGTCATACCCTTATATTGAGTTCTGCGCCATTTACGAATCTACAGGGCTATGTACACTACGCAAGTAATGCACAAAACTAGTGAAGTACCAGCTTAGCTAGTAATACTAGGCAACCTGTAATCAAGAGCTGAATCGACTTGGTTCAAGAGCGAATACCGCGCATTGTTTTGTGAAAATATCATGATCCGGCTATTAATGTCCTCTTGCCTTCCTTGCTGTGGCTGCGAAACAACTGTGCGACTTTCTATCACATAAACGAGCTGACAGCTTCATTTCGGTACGTACTACGCGACCGGTCGCGCAATCCGCTCGTAGAGGCGATTGCGTCGTTAGGCTGTCTGATCATGACCGCACATTCAATGCAAGAGTGAACGAAGTGCTGCATGTTTCGCTGCTCAGACTGAAGTCTTTATATCGGACCCTTATTTCGGCATTCGTTTTCGTTACCAGCTTCGGATGCTCTATCGTTATCCCATTCAAACAAAGCTGATCTTGACTAACAGAAGAAGGCGACGGATTTGCATAACTACTAGTTCGGATAGGGCGAGTGCTTTGTGGAACCCATGCTCATTGATCCAAGATAGTAAATGCTTCCGTGAAGTGACACGGAATATGAACTGAAACTGGTAAATTTTCCAGAACGTCCCAATCACAAGAACTCTTTTTAGGCTTCTGATGAGAGTAATTTCTGAATCTGTCGCTGAAATAACCTAAGATTCGTTTTGAGACTAGAGCCAAGGTCTACTTCTGCTGTGACGATCTTGAGTTATTCCATCCACTTTCTATTCTTTATAATCGATCGCTCTGAGGATATTTTCGGGTCTGTTCCTCGCTGCTTGGGTTACCTGAGCACTGCTCTCAAGTGCATTTTTGAGGAGAAACGAGTCGTGAAGAAAGTGCAGTGAAGCATTAGGTTGGCCTTATAAGTAAAGGCGTTTTTTCAACACAAATTTTTCATATGGAAAATGACAATTGTTCCCAATATGTTCTACACTGCTTGATGAACAATTTTCTGCACAATATGATAGTATAATGGCCTTCTCACTAATTGCTGACTTGTATCGATTTTTACTTCATTGAAAGGAAAATTGGGATCGACACAAATATGAGTTTTCGACAACTACTTTTCGAATTGTATCTCGCCTCTCAATCTACAGAAGAAGCTCAAACCTTGTGGTATATATGACCAAAGAAAGATGCGTCTCATGACAGCTTGAATTTGGTTCAAGCGATCAAGACTTGGAATTTCGGACCCGTAAAGGAGCATCGCGTGAGGTGTCCTCTTGGGGAGGGACTGCCTGCCACTTATTTTCGACGTCTAACATTAGTTTAGGGAGGTGGTTGCTAATGATAAGGCAGCATTCTATGACCTCTAACGATTCTTCAATGTTTGGCACGAATCTCCATGAATAAGGTGATTCCGTAAGCTCTCAGTTGGACAGAATAGGCATTGGGTTCGATGCTTGTTTGTGAGGTCAGAACTGAAATCTTCGAATCAAAGTATTACCAGCATTCCTAAGAGACGTAGCCTTTCAGCCATACACTTAGCAACTGAGCCCGTGCGTTTTTGGCTTTTCAATTAAAGGTATAAAAGAGAGGCTCTCAAAAATGCTCAATTTCTTCGTCCTGACACTCCAGTTTGAACACTTAAATACTTGTAGAATGAGGAACTTTAAGAAAACTAAGAAGACCATCGTGTAGGAAAGAAATTTTCTGCAAAACGGTCCACAACGCGATGGTGATACTTTTTTCCTTAGCGCGATATTTCGAGTGGGGGAAAAAAACTCCATGACTTATGGGCCGACCCAGTATTTGAAGATCAGTCATCATATGCTGGTGCACGCGAAGCTTGGAGGCTGCCACAGTCGCGCGCACAATCACGGAACAGAATTCAGAACTCCTTCCTGACAAGGGAAGATGCTGTCAGCAGCTTTGGTGTACGCAGAGTTGATCGTCGAATACTCCTGGTTTCTTTCACGAAGTCTCTCAGTTCAGTGATTTTGGATTTGTATCCAATGAATACAATTGATACAAGTTTTCAGCGGATTTGATGATCTAGGCATTTCATAAATGAGCCAGCAGCCAGAACTTAGTGCCATTTAAACGGTATCAGCCATAACCCAGCGCTGCTGGGTCCTTAAACCGCTTACTATTATTTATACTCTGAGCTAAAAGCCGAGGAGTATTCGATGGGTTTCGTCGAGTCAAGTTGTAATGCTTTAGAATGTACAACAGCTGATCAGGCTGATTTCTGAAGAATGGCATTTCGAATCATTAGTGCTTCCACATGCTTGATGGAAGTCGAGGAGCTTTATTTCGCGAAAAACCAGTCACATATTCTCACACAAAATAGTCACATATTTCGCCAGATGCGTGCTTGCTGTAGGCGAAACATTCTTTGTAGATACAGACGACTTTTACTAGGTTCCCTTTGAAGTAGCTGTTACATCCATACCTGGTTTTAGCAGGAAGTTTGCGTACTGCAAAAACGAAAGACCGAATTTAAACAACAGCTGTGGCGTTACGATTCAACATTACAACATCCCGAGCTATGAAAAATCTCGTTGTGAGCTAACATTCTCGGTTTGTGATTCGTTTTGCAAACCTTCCTGTAGGGTTTCCCTGATCATCACTGGGACTGATCAACCTCTCGAAAATGTCCTTAAAAAGTAGCGTGGCTCTGTGGAATATTCTTTGTATGAGCAGACACATCTTCTGCGCGCGTGAATTTATTAGGTGCATTAGAGTCTACAACACCGTCTTGCTTCGTTACAGGCGTCACTGGAAAGTCCTGAGTCCCATACCTGAAACAGAATTTCTCTCAAAATTTTATGATTGATTTTACTCATGTGGTGTTGAGCTTACGTTGGACACCTCCTGCAAACTAATCTTGAAGCGTGTGACGTGAACAGGTGGCGCTCAGAAAAGCGGCCATTCAAAGTTGCGCAGGATCGAGGCAGGAGAGCTGTCACTGCAGTTTTGCCGTATGGACTTGCTTGCTGGCCGCAAAGTGTGCCATGTGGTGCGTTGCTGAGAAATCACATCGTGTCACATTACATACAAGCTGCTTATCTGTGCCAAGAGTAGATCACGATCAAATGGAAAGCCGACAAGGAGAGGCGCATTTGGCTATAATAAGGCATGCATGGTTGTATCCCAGGTCGCATGCCCGCTGGGAGCCCTAAAAGTCATTTACCTACCCCTACTCTCCAGCTCTCGCTTATCGCGCTGTCGCTTCACTACGCGTAGCGAGGCCAGGATCTCCAAAGGTGAGCGCACAGGTGTACCTTCTAGAAGAATTGCCTCAATTCCATCTTCAACAACCTTTCACATTGCCTGTTAACAATTTCGAAGATCTTAAATTTTTACAAAACATAGCGTTTCGGCCGTAATTGATTTTGAGGTGAATTGTGTGGTAGGTACAGGCAAAAACGACTTGAGCGATTCAAGAAAGAACATTTTAAGGAGCACCAACCAGTCCAGGTTGAGGAATCTTAATTGAAGTCGGAGTACCAACTGCTCCATTGCTGTGTAGGTAGGGCATCTGTCTGAAACACAATATGCTTTCGCCATTCGTTGATTGGCCTACTTAACAGCCGTAACACGCACAGCACTTACTTCAGTCTCTACGTTATATTAGGAGGAAGCACAGGGGTACGAGAATGAACAACATTCGATTGGTATACGACTTTGCTAGTCCATTTTATAGCTTTATAACCATGGCTCATAGCCAGATCCTGTCGGAATAATCTGGAAACTTTTCAGGCCATGTGTTGATTGTCTGTCTTTTGTCAACACCTCCTTATTGATATTTTATGCACTTTAGGGAATCAGAAGTCGATGAAAGAAAGCACATTGTGTCACAACAAATGCAATTGTCTCGTTATTGATTCGGCGCCCATCAGTTTATTTTCGGGCTAGTCCGGCAGTGGAAACCATATTCTGTGCGTATCCTTTCATGCATAACTTGCCGCAGTAAATCCACATCAGCGCTGTGAAGGAACGACGTGGAATAATATTTGAAAAGCTCAAAGTCGGAGCAAAGCGCTGGAAATCCGTGAAGTAACGTAACATTCGCAAATGAGCGTTGCGGATACTTTCGTGCACCACCACATGACAAGCTCAAAACAATGGCTATGGATTCATAGCGTTTACAATTGGATATGCGCACGGAGCCTGAGCTGGGGTAAGCGCAGATGAGGTCCGAAGATGGTATCTCCCTCCTTCGAGAGGTTATACTAGATCTTTCGACAGTTTTCGCCAACCAAGCTTGTACTTTTCCAAGTATTCTTCCTGTGGAGAAACCCAAAGAAACATTATATATCCAGTTTAGCTCCACGATTTTTCAAGGCATGAATTCGCGACGCTCTATATGCAAACTCCACAACTTTGCAAACCAAACTCATTGATTTCTGACCCAAATTGAGGCTTACTTATCCATGCCTCATTACTAGGAACTCTCCTGCCAGCCACGTCCATATTCAGTGTACATGATTCTCCACATTTTATTCTGTAAGTTCGCTTCTGTGAGATTTTGCACTTCCGTTTGTTGTAGCAACACTACCCAATGAAAGAATACTGTACATCAACATAGACTGCCACGGCCCGCCTTGTTTAATGGAATCGCTGGAAATTTGCGATTCATCTACCAGTTTTTTGTGCTGTGGCTGCAGGGCGGGGTTTGAACCACAAAAAAAACGCTATGACAATCGAAATTACTCCTGAATTTCCAGTTAGAAGCACGTGAGGGGAAGGAAGCGAGGGGAGTTTGTACAGTGAGGGGAAGGGGTGTAGGCGCAAACGTTGAGCTGGGAAGCAACTAGCTGGAGAGGAGAACACAACCGCTAGCAAAGTGCCAAGCTTAATCTGTTGATAAAGTAACAAAATGAGATGTTGTTCTGGGACTCGGATAATACCCTTTCAACCTAGTTTTGAGAGGTTTAGTACACTCCAAGCCTTGTAACTGCTTGGCGGGAATGGAGTGAGCTCGCGCGCAGTGTTCGTCCAACTATTGCGATTCCACCAAAACACGCACTACGATAGCTAAGTGAAAAAAAACAAGTTTGTTACCGTCATGAAAACCCTTGCTCGGACATGCCATCTAAAATAGGGCAGAGAGCGCTGCCGTCAGCCGAGCGATCCGACTCGTAGAATTAAATGTTGGGGAATCTGACCCGCTGGTTGTTGCGCATGGCTGCAGAAGCGCATGGCAGAAATCGTGAACTCAAATCTGGATAGTATATGTTCCTTTGGGTTTCTCTACCAAGGAAGAGTACTCGAAAAAGCTACAACTGGCTGGCAAAACTGTCGAGAGATCATTGCTCTCTCGAAGGAGGTAGATAGGCATCTGACGGAATTCACTGCGCTTTACCCCAGCTCAGGCTCCGCGCGCTATAATCATTGTAAACCTAGTGATATCCATAGCCATTTGTTTTGAGCTGCACTTGTGCGTGGTGCACGAAAGTATTCCGCACACGCCTCATTTTGCGCAGTGTTAGCGTTACTTCACGGATTTTTCAAAGCCTTGCTCAGACTCGCTCTTGCTTTTCATCATCTATTTCCATCGTTCCTTTGCAAGAGCTAATGGGTATTTACTGCGCAAGTCATGCATGAAAGATACGCCACCAGAATTATGGTTATGCACTGGCCGGACTAGCCGAAAATTAACTGATGCCCAGGTATCAATAACGAGACAATGCATTTGGCTGTGAACAATTGCCTGCTTTGCTATTCATCGAATTCTGTGATCCCTAAAGTGCAGAAAATATCAATAAGGAGCAAGTGTTGACAAGAAGACAGACAATCAACACATGGCCCTGACAAAGCTTTCAGTTAATTCGACAAGCGATCTCGCTATAAGCCATGGTTATAAAAGCCTCCTCATCCCATTCGAAATGTTGCTCGCTCTCGTACCATTGTGCTTCTTCCTGATCAACGTAGAGGCTCGCAGTAAGTACAGCAGTCCTATTTCTTTAGTAGCCGGAACTCTCACGGCTTCCGATGCAGTTTTCACTCCACAATCTGGAAGCATCATGTGTTTCCAGATAGATGCCCTACCTACACAGCAATGGAACAGTGGTACTCGGACTTCAATAAATTCCTCAACCCTGGACTGGTTGGTGTTCTAAAAATGTTCTTTCTTGAATCGCTCAAGTCGTTTTTTGCCTGTACCTACCACACAATTCACCTCCAAAATCAATTACGGCCCGAACGCTATGTTTTGTAAAAATTTTGAGATCTTCGAAATTGTTAACAGGATGTGAAAAGTTGTTGAAGATGGAATTGAGGCAATTGATTTCGTCTTCTAGAAGGTACACTGTGCGCTCACCTTTGGAGATCCTGGCCTCGCTATGCGCGTAGTGAAGCGAAAGCGCGATGAAGCGAGACTGGAGAGTAGGGGTAGGTAAATGACTTTTAGGGCTCCCCGGGCATGCGACCTGGGATACAACCATGCATGCCTTATTATAGCCAAATGCGCCTCCTTGTCGGCTTCCCATTTGATCGTGATCTACTCTTGGCACAGATAAGCAGCTTGTAGTGTATGTGACACGCTGTGATTTCTCAGCAACGACACACATGCCACACTTTGCGGCCAGCAAGCAAGTCTTATACGGCAAACTGCAGTGACAGCTCTCCTGCCTCGATCCTGCGCACTTTCGAGTTTTGAATGGCCGCTTTTCTGAGCGCACCTGTTCACGTCACACGCTTCAAGATTAATCTTGCAGGAGCGTGTCCAACGTAAGCTCAACACCCACATGAGTAAAATCAATCATAAAATTTCGAGAGAAATTCTGTTCCAGGTATGGGACTCAGGACTTTCCAGTGACGCCTGTAACGAAGCAAGAGGTGTTGTAGACTCTAATGCACCTCATAAATTCACGGCGCAGAAGTAAGTGTCTGCTCATACAAAGAATATTCCACAGAGCCACGCTACTTGTTAAGGACATTTTCGAGAGGTGGATCAGTCCCAGTGATGATCAGGGAAACCCTACAGGAAGGTTTGCAAAACGAATCACAAACCGAGAATGTTAGTCAGAACGAGATTTTCCATAGCTTCGGGATGTTGTAAATGTGAATCGTAACGCCACAGCTGTTGTTTAAATT